GGGTTTAGGGTTTTGGGTTCAGGGGCTCCCCTCCTCTCTACTGTGGACAAACGGACGGTTCAGCGGTGCAGCTTCCTCGTGCGAAGGCGGCGCTTAAAGCGGGCCTGCAGCGCAAGAAAAGGCTGTAGACTTCGCGTTGTTGAAGGCTTTTGGGCTGTTTTCAACCTTCTTGCAAGGCGTTCATAGAGCTTTTAAGGCAGTGTTGCAAGCTTTCTATAATGTTTTATAGAGTTTTTGTGCAGTTTTGAAGCGGATTTCCAATGGTTGTATAGGAGTTCTATACGCATTATGCGGGACTTACGGTTTGCGGAGTCGGATCCGCATATGTATCCCTGTGAAAGGGTGATTGCGCAAAAAAACATGCGAGCGACTTTGCGCAGAGGGCGGGGGGTTCAGGACCTAACATTGGGTTTACAGTTAAGTACCTAACTGCTGTTGCGAGGCCCACCCTAATCAAAACCCTAAGCCCCAACGGACTATATTGGAGAGGAAAGCCCCAAATCCTGAACCCTAAACCNNACCCTAAACCCTAAACCCTCCCCTAGCCGAAGTCTCAGTCGCATGAGTTTGTAGGCGCTACATGGGATTGGATCCCTACAAGAACCCAGCTGCTGCATGCCACAGAACACGGAGACATTGCCTTCAGCACTCAACATTCGACCCTAAACCCTAAACCCCCGAAGCCCTGAAACCCTAAACCCTAAACCCCTAAACCCTAAACCCTAAACCCTAAAACCCTAAACCCAAAACCCCTACACCCTAAAACCTTAGACAACTTCACGGACTCTCCGATGAAAGTCATGAACCACACAAAGGCACCATGCCCCAAGGACACAAGCCCCAAACCCTAAACCCTAAACCCTAAACCCTAAACCCTAAACCCTAAATCTATATCAGGCAGTTTAGGGCTTAGGGGCTCTCGGGCTGAGGCTTTAGGATTTAGTATGTTGGGGCCCATTGTACTATACTCATAATAAAGGACCCCCCAAAACAGCATTGGTACTTATTTGGGCCCCTATATTAAACCTTCAACTCTACAGCGTCCTGCGTCTTCGAAGGACTTGACCCACTCGATGGACCAGAAGTCGTGCGCGAGGTCCGGATTGCAGATGTACTCCTGGGTTGCGCAGTTGGTCTGCACTTCTGCTGTCGGATCAAGAGACTATGTTTTGGAGCTTAGGGCCTTTGGACCGGGATCTGGATGCATAAGTCCTACACTAGAATCCGCCCTCACTAGGTGTCCACTACTCAGACGTCTGATTGAAGAAGTGTCGGTTGCATGTTGCTGTCTGAGGAGGCTATCAAGCTAGTCGGACTCAGCACGGAACCCTAAACCTTAAAGCCCTAAACCCTACACCCTAATCCTGAAGTTCCTAAATCCCACAGCCTGGGACCAAGTCTCGGGATCTGACTTAACTGTGGCGGGGGTCTTAGGGCTTCCAGCCTCTTGCTTCGCACCCTCGTGTTGCTGGAATTCTCAGGGTTTAGATCTTTGACTTTCCGAAAACTCCTTCAGCCAACCCCGCAAACACAACAGCCCCCAAACCCTAAACCCTGAGAGCCCAAAACGACAAAGACCCAACTTCGAGGAAGAGCATGCCGAGGGACGTAGGGCATGTAGAAGTATCCCTTGTCACCCCACCTGGCAACAACAGCAGGCTTCCTTGAGCGATGAGGCTCCAACATTATAAACAAAAACGTCAAGGATGAATATAGCCCTAAACCCTAAACCCTATAGCAAGATGTGGCAGCATAAAATGCAGAGGGGTCCTGAGCATGAAACAACGTGTGTCACGTCTTATAACCCCAATAGAAAACAACTGAAACGATTATAAAACCCATAAGTCACGCTATTCCTGTGTATAATCCCTATAGAAACAGCTTCTAAAATCTTGAAAACACCCACAAACCACTATATTGATTATAAACCCCATGGAAACACATTACGGAACCCTCTACAACATCCATAGATCCCCTATATTCCTCACTTGCTGGGCTTGTGGAGTCCCTGGGTTCATACCGGATAAACCCAGCGGTTTAGGGTTTAGGGTTTAGGGTTTAGGGAACCCTAGTACGGCCCGACAGTCAACCCCGAAAGTGAATTATAACACCTGCGGATTAGGGTTTTGGGGTTGAGGGTTTAGGGGTTTAGGGTTTAGGCTTTAGCGTTTAGGGTGCAGGGGGTTGAAGGCGTCAACGCTGAGCTGACCTCGAAGATTCGCTTCGAGGAATGCGAGTATTCAAACTCACACCCACCCACAGGAAGGTTGCTCTGCCTCTAGATTACATTCTGCCACTAAACCCTAAACCCTAAACCCTAAACCCTAAACCGAGGCCGCCCAAAATATGCCCGGTCACCTCAAAGCCCTGCTTGCTGTGTCCCGGATTTTCTGCAGCCTGAATTATTAGGGTTGAGGGTTTAGGGTTTAGGGCTTAGGGTTTAGGGTTTAGGGTTTTAGATCCAAAAAGCCCTCAAGTTTTCAAGCCCTACACCGGGATGGTCCGAAGCACTAGATAAGAACATGCAAACATGTCCCAGTGTCTATCATTGGGTTTACGGTTTAGGGTTTAGGGTTTAGGGGAAATTCAGGAATCATTGAAAGTCAGGAAAACTCGCCGATCAAAAATGGCATGCGCTTTGTAAGCAACCCCCTTGCTCGGTATCCTCCGTCTGTCTAAGCCCAGCACCCGACACCCTGGGAACTCCTACTGTAAGGGCCTTAATGGACAAGGGTTTGAGAGTATTTCATCCTATACTGGTAATAAGGAAGAGCATTGGTAATCACTTAGGCCCCTATATCTACAGGAACCAAACTCCGTCAGAGGCCACCCCTCGCCCCAGCTGTTTCGGACGATGAAGCACTCCTTGACAGGGTACCGGGGTAGTTGGGTTCGGATCTTGCTGGTTAGTGCTTCGGGTTTCGGAGGTGTGGCATAGGTTTGGCAAGTGGTTCGTAAGAAAGAGTGAGGCAAGTGTCCTTCGTGTTCAGGGCTTCGCGTGTTTCAGGGTCCAGGGCATAATATTACAAGAGATGTCATACCTATCTCGACTGAAGTTCACGGCTGGTATGTGGCTGGTATGTGGCATCCCAAATTCCAAACCGTAACTCCTCTTCAAGCCGTGCGCATGGTCATGCATGGACGTAAGTCTTCACTGACTTCCACAAGGATGGAATCTCTCTGCCTCACGCCCCGACAGCAAACTATAAAGCATACCACCTAATCAGCTTTTTTGCCAGTTTTCCACGCTAAGGAAGTCAGACATGAGACTCTATGACTCTATGATCTACCCTCACAGACTCGGGCCGAGGGTCTAGAGTACTAGAACAGGTGTCACCCAATACTCCTTAAAGTCCCGATGCAGTGCCGCTACCCTGGACCCTAAACCAATATTCTAGTCTTATCGTCCCTATACTATATAATGCCTAAACCCGAAACCCTAAAC